CAAACTATGAATATTGACATATCAAAATTAATCATTTCAAATGAACTTCTAGAACAATCTCAAGGTAGTTGGGAAGGTATGAGTCGAGCGTTAACTTTTACTCCAGAAGTAATACAACAATGGAATGAATTACATTTTGAATTTTGTCCACCAAATGGTGAATCAAAACGAATGGTACAAAAACGTGCTTTAGCTTATCTAGAACCGATTATTGAACAAGCAAAAAATCAAAGTCTAAATGAAAATCGTGAAATATATTATTCAACAAAATAATACAACAATTAATGAAATTCTATTCAATGAACATGGAATATCTGTTGTTAAAATAAATGATGATAGTCATTTGAGATTTTTAATTCCAGAAATGCAAAATGTGTCATTAGACAATTTATAATTATGAACAGATAAATAGTTAATTTTTTTTTCTTGTTTGATAATTTGAATTAATAAAAAACATAATAAATATATCGGTTTTTTTGTTTTAAATTGTAACTATTGTCAAACAAATGTACGAGCGACTCCTTACTTGAAATCATGTGCATAAAACAAATGAGGTAAACAACACTACAATTAAGTTATCCGGATATGAAAGCCAAGAAGAACCAAATTCTCCAAGACGAAAAAAGTAAAATCATAAGACTCGTATGATCTATCGAAATCTATTCAATTTATAAAATTCAATAAAAGAAAAGAGAGCTAGTATTAGAAACATCGATGTTCAATCTTGAACTTCTGCTTATTAAATAATTTGAAAAAAATTGATTATATCAAAAAGTTAACCAACACGAATTTCATTTATGATTCTTTACAGACATTTAATAAACACACGGGTCCTTTCCTGATTTGGCACATATCTCTCTGATGAGGGTACTCGGAAATTGTCATTTCGCATGAAAAATACATCCCTTACTAAATAAAGTCACGATTTCCAAACACCTTCACTAGAGAAATATGTGCTAATGTGTATGTGATAAAGTTTTTCATGGCATTCTCACCATTAGGAAGGCACGGCTATGTATATGTGTATTTACGCGTAATCTAGAAAAATTCGAGTAAAATATATCGATTCATATGATTTTCTCTTTGCAGAGATTTTTTCTTCTTCGAATAGAAATTATTCTACAGAAAATTTTCGCTTTTTCTTAGCATCTATTTTGAAACGAAGTTACTCTTAGACAAGAAATTTTTCAAAGATCGCGTATTAATCGCAAAAATCTTTGAGTGTCAAAAAGACATTGTTGTTTCTGAATAAAAAGTTCCCCAAATCAGAAGGTTTCAAACTCTCAACATGAGCAATGAGCATCACTTGATCAAGAAAAATGAAAAATTTAAATATTTTCATCAAAAATCTATCAAGTTTATCCACGAAAGAAACTGCTTTTCATGTGGAATCACGATTTCCAAGCACTCTCAGCAGAGAGATATGTGCTGATGTGTGTGTAATAAGGATTTCCGTGGTACCCTCACGGAAGGACACGTATGTATATGTGTATTTATGCGAAATCTTGAAAAAGTCGAGTAAAATACATCGATTCAAGCGATTTTTTTCCTCACTGAGATTTTGCTTTCTCTATGATTTAAAGTCACTTTTATTTACAATTTTAAGCAAAAGATAAATGTTTTTTTTCCAGGTATCTATTTTCTGGTAATGACTTCAGATTCAAATTGAAAAGATTTTTACTTGAAAACTGTAATGTACAAATTTTCATTTCTTTTTGTATTAATATCAAGTTTTTCGCTCGATTTTATTTGAATGAATTGTATTTGCTTCTGAACATCAGCTGATAATCTAAAAATTATGTGTTTGTTTGAGAATTTTAGCAAGCATGATTTAAGTCGTTATGTTGTTTTAATATCTCATAATAGAACCTTTCTCACCATTGAGAAATTCATATTCCGTTAAGTCAAATTATTTAGAACAAAAAAAATGTTAAAAAGTAATTTCAATATTACAAATCACTCATCTACAATAAATCATTGTTCTCATCAAAATATTTTGATTAAAAAACAAAATCAAGGAAATACTAATAAATTATTAACATAGAGTGGGTGGGGTGTGGGTGTAGAAAGAAAAAAATCCAATACCTCACACCCACACCCACACCCACACCCTACACCCAAAATCTTTTTTTTCTTCATCGACCGTCTCTCGATCATCGATTCAATTCTCAACAAAAGTACAATCGACCGGAAATTGATAAGTGACTGACGAGTGAACGAATCTCCTTTTCACAGATAATGAAAAACATTTTTGTTTATTTTTCTTTTCACACGAAAAATAGTCCAAACCAATTTACTTTTCAATCGAAGCACAAACAAAAATTTCATTAATTCAACACCGAAAAATCATTTCTTCAACAAACAAAACTTAATTTTCAACAAAGTATTGCATTTTTCAGAATATTTTTTTATTTAACGAACGAGAGATCACACATAGAGAACAAAGTTCTTCGCTTCTTTGACGTTTTTAAGGCTTTCTTTGCTCATCAAGGACAGATTGTACCCATTCACCCAGAATGTGTGCAACAATCGATGATGACTTGGAGACAATCGACACTCGCATCAGTCGACAATTTGCGATAGGAGAGAAACTATGTTTGTAATTTTTGATCGCTTCATACAATATTCGAATTCTTCGATCGTTCATTTCATTCTTGTCGAGAAACAGATGAGTCTTAAGACGAGAGATTTGACACTCGATTGTCTCGAAAATACAGTCACTTCAGCGTCGTATTGTTGTTGTTTTTCAATGTCTTGGCCAAGACCGATGTACCGACTGATGCCATTTCGTTGTTTTGTGACCAGAATATAGTGCAGTGTTTGTTGTTAATAGCCAATTGTGAGCAAATGTCGATGTCTCGATCTTTTTGATCACAGTGTCGATTGTTCCATTTTTATTCGAGTTGTGATATTCAATGTTGATTTTATTCTATGAAAATGGAATGGAATCTGTTCGAAAATGTTTTATGTTCCCAGTCGAACGTCAATTTCGAAAACACGCGTTGCTACGCAAGGAAATTCAAGAACCTTGCGTGCGCTTGCAGGGTATTTTTAATCTGCTCGAGTTTTGTGCTGGGACACGCATGTCTGTTTTAAAATATTCGAATCTTGTGTATAAACGCAAGGAAATGGCACTTGCACATATACGCGTGGCAGAATCTCATGCGTGCGAACACAAGTTTATAGGCTTTTTAAAAAAACATGTAAAAACATACAGATTTTTATGCTTGCATTTGCTCGCGAGCTGTATTCGTGCAAATTTATGCAAGAAATATGATTTTCATATAAACGTAACAGTTTTACCTGCATGTACATGCATCGTAGGTGTAGTATTTTCAAAGTTTGTATAAAGGTACACGAAAAATTGTAACGTCAGACATATATGAGCATATGCCATGCGGGGCAAAAATCGTGCTTCAGTTTTTATGCTCGAAAACTTAGGAAAAGATGTGTAATCTAAAAGGTTCATGAAGTACGAGTTTTTATCACTTCCTAACATCTTTTCATAAAGGTACATACCCTAGAGAATGTACTGAGTTAAGGGTACCCGGAAAAGTACCCTGTTACCAGTATGTCACAGGAACTTTTGGGTACCAAAGTACTTTTAGGTACTGTCAGGCACCTAAGTGGTACTTTGGCAAGTACCCTGCGACAAAATGTGTAGTAACTGAGTATTTGAAGGTACTGATCAGATACTCAACTGGGTACTATTGTATAGTATTTCTAGGTACCCTGTCACCAAAATTTTAGTATGTTCAGGATCGAATCTGACCTTTGACTTTTTTTAATTTTTGTTCCTCTCAAAGCAATTTACTACATTTTTTTTGATTTTTTCAATTTAATTTTTTCAATTCCAAAAACTTAGTAGGTACAATGCCGAGATTTGATCCGACTTGAGCTGGTCGGGTATTCATCGGACCATTTCAGAGTAGTCCGGTCTTAATCTACGATCAAGATCGGCATGGTCTCGACTAAGAAATAGTCAAGAAATAATCTAGAAAAAGTTAGTACGAAAACAGATTAATTTCTTATGTTTTGTCCAGTTGTTTATACGGAGCCGTGCGTGCAAAAGAAAACGGTGAATGAATAGTCGCTACACAGAACGCGACAAATGTAGGGTACCCGGTAGAGCTTTCCTCAGTAAAATTACAGATACAGGTGCCCATACAAGTACTTGTTTAGTGAGCGTACTGTTATGGGAACCACACCCAGTACCTACATCAGTATAATTACTGAGAATTTTCGAAGTACTCATATCGGGTAACCTGCTAAGGCTTTCTTAGTATATGGGTAGCCTGAACTCAGTAATTTCTCTAGGGTATATTGTATTTTCTGAGTAACATGTATTTAGTCTTAAATGCAGCTCATGTAATCACAATATTCTTTATTTTAACTGCATTAGTGAATTGAAAATAAACTTTTAAGTCATACTGCAACGACCACAAAAGATAAGAAAAAGGGAAAACCTACTAGAGTTGTTACATTTATAAGCATAAGCTGATTTGCTATTCAAATCATATGCCAACCAAGCAATAAAAATCTGTTTAGCACACAATAATCGAAAAAAAACATTAGAATATGAATACATTAACGTTACGTTCCAGGTTAAAAATAATAATAAGCATAGTTTTGCTTGTCAATCGATAAGATTATGATAAAATGCTACTATAACAACGCATGTCTGACAGGAAGACCTAACATATTTCTTTACATGTTCACGGAAAACTGCACTTAAGTCTTCGGATGTGCAAGAATCTTATACTCGCGTGAATTTGCGTATCTTATCACGAATAAGTGACATTATTTTCTCAATACTAATGAATATCGATAAGTGGTCGAATGGTAAGAATGTTCGTCTCTCAAGACAATAAGTCAAGTTCGAATCCGTTTGTAAGTATTATCTTCATATATCACATGCGTGTACATGCGTGCAGAATAAGTGTTTCATGCGTGTAAATGGCAGCGCACCGTATACATGATATCATTCGTTTTTAAATATTTTTTTTGCTGAACATGCGTGATCATGCAAAAGTTATACTGGCGAAAACTCGCATGTAAGCATTCGAAAGTTTTGCGTAAACACGCGAATATAGTTCACCCTGTGACGCGTTCACACGCATGCAAGGTTATACTAACATATGCGTGAACATGGACTCATTATCGCGCATTTACATGCATGTTTTTTACAATCATGTTCGACTGGGTGTTTGACGAAGAATCTCAAATCAAATATTTTTATTTCGAATTGTTTTGATCGATAAATTTTGATTTTG